GGGGGGGACGTGCAGATCTGTCCTGGCAGAGGAGGGAGAGCTTGTACCTGAATAGAACTTGGTCTTAAAGGTGCCACTGGACTGTTTTGGATCGGGGGGCGGGGTCTGCAACTTACCTGGCTGCTTCTTGCTCTGACTGAGGGCTGCTGGGGGCAGGGGGTGGGGCTTGTTGCATGTGCCCTCCCCCTGGGCTCTTTACTGCCGGAGCTCCGCTCCTGTGCGCTCCTGCAGGAAATGACCTCTGGCTAGGGGCAATAATTTGGTTCTGCTTAAAGGCTTTCCGAGGTTATCTGGCAAACCAGAGTCAGAAAGAGGTGGGCTTCAAATATCCTGGCCCCACTGGTAGACCTCCTGATGGCACCTGGTATTTCTGGCCACTGTGTGACACAGAGTGTTGGGCTGGATGGGCCTTTGGCCTGATCCAGCGTTGGCGTCTCTTATGTTCTTATGTAGGATACTGGACGAGGGATGCCAGGCCATGGCCGGGTACCTCCACGAGGCTTGAGGGTGGAGCAGGGGGTGGGCGTGGTGTCGTGTTGATGTCTTGACTGGCCTAATACCTGGATGTGCCCTGGAGACCCACCCGGTAGGACCCTAAATTTACCAGCTCATTGGCTGATGCTCTAAAATCAAGTCTCCGTTTTGGGCTGGATATGATGGCGACGTGTCGTGCAACGTCATTTCCGGTCCTCCTCTTTTTCTCCTTCCAGTCCGGACTCCAGGGCGGGTGGCAGGCCCCAGCAGGGGGGAGAATGGCAGGCCTGGGCTTTTGGTCTGATCCAGTAGGGATGCTGCCGCCTTTGGCACTCCAGGGTTCACAGGGCCCCTTTCAAGTCCCTCAGAAGGGCTGGCAGTGTTCATAGCACCCTGAGGGTCATGGGCAAGGCTCCCTCTAAGCGGTGGGGTCTTGTGAGCAGAAATTCTACTTTCTGAGCTCTACTGGCATTAAATTTGTGAGCGAGCCATTTGGCTGCTGCATAAATCAGTTTGCTCTGGAGCCGTCCCTTCCCGAGCGGAGACAAAAGTGTGTGGGCTGGAGGCTAAAAAAGGGTGAGCTGGCTCACGCTAGCTCAGCTTAGAGGGAACACTGGCCATGGGTACCTGGCGCTTCTACCTCTCCCCACCCCTTACTAAAAGGCATTACAGATTTTCTTGAGTGTAAAGAAGATAAGGTGTCACAACCCTGGGGACAGGGACGCATGAAGCAGGATTCAAAGAAGCAAGCAAAGTAGGAACTTGAGGTTAACGTTCATCCTTCCAATTTTGTCTCCCTTGCAGGCAGTGAAGAGATGTTGCTGAGCCGTTGTCTTTGCAGAGGCGTGGAAACGGCTACTCCACCTCTGGTCCAGGTAGGGAGGGAAGATTGGGGGATACTCAGGTCCCCCCTCCTTTCTCTGGGAGGCTTTTGGTCCTGCTGACTGAGGAGAGACAGGCTCTGAGCCCCACTCTCTTTAGGCATGCCAAACTCTACATCCCGCACCCTCCCAGAATGCCCCTGTGGAGAGTGTAGCCTCTGCCAGGACTGATGTCTGACGAGGGAATCTGCTTTTCCTTTCAGTCTCCCTTTTCCTTTGAGGAGGTGGCCGTGTATTTCACCGCGGCCGAGTGGGCCTTGCTGGCTCCTGGCCAAAGAGATCTCTACAGGGACGTCATGTTGGAGAACTACGGGAGCGTGGCCTCTCTGGGTAAGGATGTTTCATTGGTGCCAAAGGTGCGAAATGTTGCCAGTGGGATGATGTATGAATCAAAATACTGAAGAGCAACATGTGGTTTTGAGGACCGCCTGGCTACTCTCCCCCCCACCCCGCTTGGGGGCCTCAGGGAGGTGGGGCTGGCAGTGAAAACAATAGTTCAGCATGGCCAGTGTGGTGGCTCTCTCCCAAGCCAGAGAGGGTGTCCTGGCCTGTGGCCGAGGTGGGGCTGAGAGGCCCTCAGAAGGACGCTGGAATGATCTCTCTCTCCCTCACTTTCTCTCACTCTCTCAGCTGTGACTCTGGAGTGGCTACAGTACCCTTAAATCCTGGATATTCCAGGCAAAGAGGGAGGGGGGTTTACCTGAGATCATCTGTGCTGGACGAGGCCAAAGGTACATCGAGTCATTCCTACAGCGGTCCCCTTGATGCCTTCAGGCCTTACTATTAGCTGGAGATGGGTTTGAGTGCTTTCTTTGGAGTTGTTCTACCTTGCAGGGGTGGCCTGCAGCGGGTATTCCCACCAGTTAATGCTGCCCCCCAAGGGCAAGTGGCTTAGGCCAAATCACACAGCACCCTCTGTTGTGGTGAGGGGAATCAGCCCTCACCCCAGGAGAAGTAGAAGAAGAGGAGATTGGATTTGTACCCCGTCCTTCACTACCCAAAGGTGTCTCAGAGCGGCTTACAAACTCCTTTCCCTTCCCCTCCCCACAAGAGACACCCTGTGAGGTCGGTGGGGCTGAGAGAGCTCTTGACAGGAACTGCTCGTTTTTCAAGGACAGCTCTTATCAGAACTACGGCTTGCCCAAGGTCACATCAGCAGGTGCAAGTGGAGGAGTGGGGAATCAAACCCGGTTCTCCCAGATTAGAGTCTGCACTCCTAACCACTACACTAAACTGGCTCTTCTTCCTGGAAGAAGAAGAGATTGGATTTATACCCTGCCCTTCACTACCCAAAGGTGTCTCAGAGCGGCTTACGAACTCCTTTCTCTCCCCCTCCCCACAACAGACACCCTGTGAGGTAGGTGGGGCTGAGAGAGCTCTTGACAGAAACTGCTCTTTTTTCAAGAGCAGCTCTGATCAGAACTACGGCTTGCCCAAGGTCATCCAGCCAGGTGCAAGTGGAAGAGTGGGGAATCAAACCCGGTTCTCCCAGATTAGAGTCCGCGCACTTAACCACTACACCAAACTGGCTCTCATATGGGGAGTATGGGGTGAGGAGGGACAGGCAGAATATAAAAACAGCTCTGCTGGAGGGCCTGGCAGGCATGCGACCAGAGGCTCAGTTCGGGAGGAAAGAAGGCCTGATAACAGACATGCACACCCAATAATGAGGAATGCCCGATGGGTGGCCTGGCTTCTCACAGGGGTGCCGATTGAGACTCTTTCTTTATTCCAGCAGCAGACGTAGAGGAGACAGCTGGGGAATTCCAGGGGTTCGCTTTGGAAAAAGTCAAGAATGAAAATGCCGAAGGACACTTCGGAGACGGGCCACAGAGGCAGGAGGAGGGCCACACAGGTAAGAGGAGGGCTTTCCCGTGAAATCCCAGCCCAAGACAAAAGGTCCGTCAAAAAGAGAAGGAACATTTAATAATGGTGGAATGTGGTTCTAGTATACTGTACATTAAAGTTGTAATATTTCTTGCTGATAATTATATAGGAGCAGGGGTCATTTGGGGGGGATCGCGGGGGAACGCCGATCCCCCGGATGAGGTGCGGGGGGCGGGGCACACGTCGAAGCCCTACCCCAGGACACCTTCAGCTCCATGCAGCAGAGCTGCCACCTCGCGCCGAGGAGACTGAGCGCGCCGGGCGGACGAAGGCAGGCGGGCGAAGGAAGGTGCATGCTCAGGCTTGGAGGTCCCATCACGGAGCGCAGTGGCTAGAGAGGGCGGGCGGAGGACAAGAAAGGCGGCAAGAAGGACAAGAAAGGCAGTGAGAAGGACGAGAAAGGCGGCGGCGGCTGGGCCGGAGAAGGGCCCCCCGCCGCCGCCACCACCTTCTTTCTC